TTTTTAACCGATAAAATTCATGTGAATTAAAGGGAAGTTTTGGAGGCGCACTTCTTTAAGCTTTTTAAAATCAGCGCCTGAGTCCTAGTTATAAATTAGAGAGATTCTTGCCGAAGGTTATTAACCCGGTCTGTGAAATAATTCCAACTTTTCAACAATTTAACTGGTTGAACGAGATGGAACTTTAAGGGAATACGATCGCAATACTGGCCTTTTCTTCATCGAGTGTATACTATAGTTTTACGTCTTTTAAGGAGCTCAGGGACAATGCTCCACCTAATTCTTAGACTAAATGTGTCTCAAAGGGACTAAACTTTTGCGCGTGTTGCATCTCATATTTAAATAGGCCGTGTTTCCGGAAGAAATTATGTTCTGCCGAGTAAAATTGTTCGTTTTACTGGAAATGGAGTCAGGGTTTTTTAAATATGCATCAAATTCTTAGTGTTAATACTAGGTGTTGAGCTATAATGATAAAAACGTTATATCCGTGCATAAATATAGATTAAATTTAAAGCTGTTTTGTCTGATTCATATGTGACAATAAATAATACTTGCAACTACGGCCAACTGCTTCCAATCTACATACTTCGACCTGCGAATACATAAAAAAAATTCAATGTCAGTTCCCTATGCACACCATGTGACTGCGGATATTCTGCTATCCATCCCAGACTTATATTGAACCTTATATAAAGGCGAAATATAACATAGAAAAATCCTCTTAAGCTTTCAACATTTTATTACCTTCCCGCATTTAGTTTCTGGACATCAGGCTTTGTCATCGCTTGCTAATCGCCCTAGAACTGAACATGCAGCACAAATCGTTTAGCAACGCTATGGCAGTCATCGAAACCATCGCTCTCTTACTGGGGCCCTACCTACAACTTCAGTTTGAAATACAGGATATTACAGAAGTAAGATGTTGCCTCCTTGCAATCCTTTTCGCAAAACAGCCTTTTTACGTTTCAAGACGTCAGAGTTTTTTTATCACTTATACCCATGCTGCTGTCCTAGATTCAGAAAACCTGCTTGACGCACTTGGTGGCTATTTCAGAGAGTTTTGCAAACACTGTCCCAAGGGAAAAAACCATTACGCGGTTGCCCTCAACGGAGTGCATAAGACAACTGGCACACGCTTGCAGTCGCTCTCTTCTGCGACATGGAAACCAGCGCTTGGCATTGGAGGTCCTTGAACGCGCGAAATCTACTCTACAAGCCTTTGCATTACCCAGTACGTAATTGCTGTGTCTCCTGTCACTTTTAGCGAAACGACTGATGTTTTGACGTCAGTAGGACTTATTTGTACAGTAGCTCTGATTAGACAATAACTACTCATCGGGGGAGCTTACAGTACGTGCCAGAATTCGTGCAACATGCCGACATATGAGAAAGATTGATACTCTTTCGCAATCGGCATTGACTCAGGTTGTGATACTGATTATTGTGCTAGTCTATTCTGAAGTCATTTCAGTCAGGATAGGATGCGCGCTTTTTAACGAGTATTCCTTCATGATAGGATGTCGGCATCTTTAAGATCTTATTTCTGACCGTTAACAAATCGTATATGCAGTAAAAAGTAACTACTTAAATAGTATGCGATATTAGCGTTAATTTTGACTGCCTTTGTAAATTCAAATATATTTTATGGAAAACATAAACGGAACAATTATTCCATTACTGGCAACGCCACATGTTCTGCGTGATAGC